CTGCGTGCCTCAGAGTCTGCAGTTTTTCAGGACTGTTTTCGGTCCTGAGTTTTCAAATGCAGGACTGTCGTGAAAGTCCTCAATATACAATTAGCCATTACGTTCTAACTGGGCAAAAAAAATCTGCTGCAGTTACTTATTTTGTTACTTCTTTAGTATATATTGTGCCAGGTTTTATTTGGCTCAGAGTTGATATTAGATGGCGAGATTGGGTTTAACTAATGCAATGCTCATCTGTTGGAGAATGTTTCCAAGAATCAATTTTGAGTCAAGATGGAACATGTATTTTCTACCACAGCGACACCTACAGGTGAATGTGGCTGAATATTTGTATCTGAATAGTGGTGTGGACACTGAACCTGGATACCAAATCAAAGTTGTCATAAGTTTCAGGGGGTATGCTGCAGTACAAGTTTCAGTAGAGAATCATGAGAAGAATGGAAAAACGGAGTGAAACAAAGTTCGCTGCTCCGCTGGAAGCAGGCGAACGGTCGTGCCCTACATTGGCTCGCTCCTGAAGGCTCAGAACCCTAATTATTAAAAAAAAAGTAATATCCAGTATTCCTTATATGGATAAAAAGAAAGTCAAGTGACATAAACCAACTGACCATAAAACATAAAATAGGTTTCAGCCAAAACAAATGACAGAACTCCAATGTGGATTTCACTAATAGCCTGTATTTTATGTTGTAGAAATAATGGTAAAACCAATTTCAAATATCCATAAAATTCATTCTAAATGACAGAATTTGTGATTATGGGTATTTAGAGTTACAAACCAAATATAAATGAGTGATAACACAAGCTGTTTTAAGGAAGACTGCCCAGGTATTTAAAATGATTATGGATATAAAGAAACTACAATATAATGCCACTGATTAGAGGTAGAGCTGTAGTTTGATAATATGTCAGTACCTTTAAGAACAAAAATAAATGTTTCAGTCTGAAAAGCCCATGGATACATGATGCTTTTTATAGCAAGCTTGTGCATGATGCCTCAGCATGGAAAGAGTTAAAAGTGTGAAAGTCACACCATCTATCAGTCTCAGTCCCCTGACTACGCTCCTTGAAACTGCAAACATCCACAGCAATAAAATCAAGAAATATGTCTGCTGAAGAAATTGAGAAGATTGCAGTAATGAATCATTTTTACAGAAATGTTGCACTTGTAGCAGTAAGCAGAAAATGAGTTAAAATCAGTTCTTAGATAATGGCTAAACAATAATGACAAAAAAAGGGTGCCCTCTTGTTTGTAGTTTGTCTTATGCCTCAATAGAAATAGAACCACCTCAGCTTAATATTTCCTGCAAACATTCTGTGAAGCACAAACAGCAAAATCCCAAGTTACACAAAAAAAAGTTGAGTGCATTGCAATGCATTCAAAGCTTCAGTGTAATGACCTAATAAAATCTAGATTATTTAAATCTAGACAGTCGTACAACGACCAAGTTGCTTACACAATGGCTTAGAACTCGTTTGGGTGTGAAGATGGTCTGAAAAAGCTGTTTACAAGACAATGTCCGTTTTAAAACAAGATCTTAATTATACATGAGATTTTTGCTGTACATTTAGTGAGCAGAGATAAGCTTGAGTTAGAATTAGGCGATAAGGAATATGTCCAGCCTACAGGGACCAGAAGAAAGTCTCGACTGAGGAGGCATCAAAGGCCAAAAACTGATCTGCATTGCCACAGAAAAAAAAATAAATAAAAAAAAAGTGTCCATTTCTCAATTTCCCAAAGGACCCACAGAGGTATAGTGCAGAAGAAAAAAAAATATTGGATGCCAGCGGTTTTATGGCTTAAAACATTTGAGTTGTCAATGGTCCACAAAGCTGCAGCAAGTGCAATTTGGTAAAGTTTATATTCAAAGGGTCTGCATGAATTTAAACAGGTACACGGAGCATTTCTCCTGCTCCAGCCCCCCGTAACTCACTGTGGCAGCAGTAAAACGAGCGCCAGATTTTGCATAAAGCAGGGGTTTCCAAAAGCAGCCATCAAGAGTTGGCATCCTGCACGTTTTAGTTCTCTCTGCTTCAACACACCTGAATCAAATGATGGCTCATTAACAAGCCTCTGCAGAACACAACATGTTGAGGAGGCAGTAACCACCACCAGGGAGAGAACCAAAACATGCAGCATACCGGCTCTGGAGGGCAGACTTTGGACACCTCTGGCATAGACCCTCTTAATTTCCTTTACAACAAAGACGTGTCTCATGAAAAGCCTTGTATATCACAGGATATATATTACAAGGTGTACTGCAGAGTTACTCCTGTGAGTTGCCTGCTTTCTGCTGCACAGCATGTTACTTTTTATTTTACGTCGCTTAAATCTTTAACTGTGGTTACATTTCCGAAGGAAGAGAATGTTCGACGGCGTCTACGTCTGCATTTCTTGATCTATAGCACGAGCGGGGCACATCTTGTATTACATGACAGCCATGGCAAATCCCTTCTCCCCTGGAGCTAGTAACAGCAGGAACACAAGCTACCGATAAGTGAGCCGTGTTTTTGTGCTGAAAACGGTGAATCTCTCAAACAAAGCGGCTTGTGCATTCTTACAGTCTGAGTGCTTCTGCTTAGCCAAGTCCTCAGATCTTTTAACCCTCCTGCAGTCTTAGCACAATGGTCAGGAAGAGTGCAGCAAGTAACACGGTCAGATAGAGGGGTAGTAGGAAGTAGATATCCCATCAGACTGTCAATTCCCGAAACCACAAACGCACACAGAAAAAAATCAGAAAAACTCAAAAAGACATGCAGAGTCGGAGCGACCCCACACAGTGAAAAACACGTGTGGGGTCCAAATGACCTGATCTCTGAAGACCACGGTAGGGTTCAATTTAGTCACAGCAACCGTGTCACACCAACATTGCGTCTGAATCTTTGAAATATAACTGGTTTCAGGATCTTTGACAATTATTCTCAAAGTCTTCCCTGGATGCAATATGTTCTTATGCAAACTAAATTGTACAGGAACAATTTAGTTTTTGCTACATTAGACTTTCAGAAACGTTTGAAAAATAATCCATGTTTAACTAATGTATAATGCTACAATGCTAATCTGCCTTTTACTCTGTAGAATAGTTACACGTTGGAAAACTGGAGAGCAGTTTGACTGCTTAAAAGCCTACATCACATGTTTTCTGAAGTTTGTGGCCGACTGATCAAGTCCACCCGATTCCCCAAACACGCATGCCTTTGTTTACATTGAATACTGCCAAGGATTTTGGTTATTTTCCCCATGTCTTGGATATTATCAGTGTCAGTAACTGTCTTTAAATCCAAATAAAGGGACATTTTGGATTTCTGAAAATATAAGACAACTATCTGACCTTGAAACTAGGCACAGTCTCTTTGTTTTCATCATGGTTGTTCTGATGAGAGAAGCTGAAGAATTAAACAGTTTGGAAACCAAACTCTCAAAGTAACACCTGAGAGTTAATTTTTTGATAGAAGCTGAACCTTTAAATCAGCATAAGCCTTATTCTGATGGAATAGTATGTGGTCCTTAGGTAAAATTATTTGTAGTAATTACAGAAATTCTCTCCGTTTTCAACCCTGCTGTGTGCGGATTGGCTCGTCAGTAATTTGTAAAGTAAAAATGACCTACTGCATTTCCACTGAACTCTGAGGTCCTGTGATTATACAGATCCAATGTGAGTGAAGATTCATTTTTGTGATTTGGAAAGAAACGGATGGGATCCGATACATAATTAGGCAGTTTTTGTTTCCTTGGTGCATTTTTATTTGCTTTTGTCTAGAATGAGTCCCAGGCCATGAAGGCCGCATTGACCTGCAATGTACAGCATAAAAAATAAAAGGCTGAAGAGGAGGAGCAAAATCAGATGCAGATCAGTCATTTTTGTAATTTCTGCCATACAGCTGGCAGTAACAGGACCAAGCTGTTACTGCCATGGCCTCAACAGTACCTTTACCGTTTTAATGTTGCTGTGCAGTCCATCTGGGAGAGGTCTGTAAATCTCAGGCTTCGGTTCATCCGAAGCCTGAGATTTTGCTTAAGTGGTGTGAATGTGCCACATAAAAAGCAGATGTTGAGGATTCATTTATTTATTACACAGAGTGGGTCCTGAGACAAAGTTTTTCCTGTGCCAATAGGGCTTTAAATAAGACTTACTTAATTCAAATCACTAAGGGAAAATTTGTGTGATGAATAATGAAGATATCAGATGAATAAATGAATAAATACCCAGTTTGTTTTGCATCTCCGCCCTTAATTTAGTGTAAAATTCTTCAGCTTTGGTTCGACCAATTCACGTATTTTAGGTTTGAGCAACAGATCATTAACATGCACTCCTTACTGGTGGAAAAACAAACTGTGAAATTCCTCTAGTTGGACAAAGACAAGAGTAAACACCAAAATGTGCATCACATTACAACTTGAGTGAACTGAAAGAACTGTAGACGAATGCTCACATTGGCGATGTCTCTCTCCAGATCCACAACTCGTGTCACCTCTTCCCTTATGTGGGTTTCATTGATATCCAGTCCCCGGTCAGAACGGATCAGCTTAGCCAGGTCAAACATGAACTGCTCGTAAGCTCGACATGCCTGCAAAACATTTGTTAGTAATAGTCGTTTCACCAAAACCAAAAGTGTCTCCTCATACCAATGCACAGACCAGCTGTTGCTACAGC